CATGTCATCCAAAACCCGACCTTCCTTTCTGATTTCTTATTAGACTCCTCCTATCCTTGAGTCCCTGTTTCCATGTCGCCCAGGGACCCTCCTGGATCTTGGAGGTTGCTGGGAGTAGAAGGCCACCATCCTTTTGATTTTGGTTAGGGAAGTCAGGGGGTACCCGTAGAGGTACCTAGGTACCTGTTCAAATTTTCACAAAACTAGGGTCCAAGTGCCGCACCTGGCACCTCCTGAAGGGTGCGGGGCGGGTGCGAGCGGTACCCCCCAGGAGGTACCAGGTACCTGCAAAAAGTACGCACAAACGATCTCTATCACCGATAAGTGAGTGAAAGATACATGGTAATTGCTTTTGTTCATATGTAATATAGATGAATAAGATAAGGTATGAATAAGATAACAAGAGGTAAAGGTAAACAACATTATGGATATGTACATATGTAAATATGTACATCAGGTGTTTCAGTTACTTGGTACATGAAAGGTACTGTGATATGTACTCTGTGGCTGACAGTGGTCATCATTAGGCGTTTTTTCACTGCTTTTCAGGGCCTGTCATTGATTATCTTTCTTACTATTTTGCCTTGCAGACATGTGTGGGTCAGGTTGAGAAATTTTTTTGCTTACTCCTACAGGTACAGCCTACCCAACAATACTTGCAACTTTTTACAAAAAAAATAAAAAAGTTTGCTTGAGCAAAAAAAGTTATTTTAACTGAAATTTCAGTTTGCTGCCTGTAGAAACTCTCACTGTGTGATAGCAGATAGTTTAGTTGTCCTGATTTTCCCACCCTTCATACTGTCCCATAAGTCAAAAAAAATTTCTTTGCAAGTCAAAGTTTTAATTTTTTTTTTTGTCAAAATTTGCAAGCATTGTTGGTTTAGTTGTATCAAATTGCATTGGTTGTCTGTTCAATAAAATATCTTCCCTGATTCCAAAACTTGTTCAAAGCGGTCTCCATCTTCTTGAATAATATTACTTTGAACCTTGCAAGACTTTGGACATATTACTGAAAGTGAATAGGATTTATATCTTGACATCCACACAACATCATTTGTGTCACCTTCTTGCTTGAGGCAAATATAAGGTTAGCCAACAACTCTAATGTTATTGCAAAACCAGACATTGAGCAAGTTGTTTATTTTGAAAACCCCTTTTCAGCCCCAGTACATGAAACCCAACCCGTGTGAGCATAATCATAACCCAAAATATGCACTTTGCATGCATTCAACTCTCCCAAAAAACTATGTAGTGTCAAGAGCCTTAACCCACAAGCCTAGTGATTGGACCGCCCTGAGGCAAAACCCAATTTGCCTCTTCACCGATGTAGCGGTCCAGACCTTTCAAAAATGTCACCTGACCCAACCTGCCCAATTTGGTTTTACATTCAGGTCAACATTTATCTGAAGCGTCCAAACAGATCAACCTTATCTGACCTTATCTGACAAAAAATGAATGCTGTCAAGCTGCGGGTGTGCCTTTTTCACTGCTAAAGATTAAAGACTCATGTTTAAATAACTCTGACCTATGTATGCACAAGTTTCAATAATGATTACTGTAACACAAACCAATATGAAAATATTTTGCAATATCAAAATTCATCTCTTGGGTTCATGAACAGGCTATCTTGGATATAAATACTTGCCTTCCAAATGTTGACATTAGGTGACATTGGCTGATCATTCTGCTATTGCCAGGGAGTTTTTTGAGCAGACACAGTCATTTGGCATATCAATATCTTTCTCAAAGATGGTCTCAATTTACAGCTTGGTGGTTGCCATGGTTAGATATTCCCCTGACTCAAAGTTGGCCTATCAATTACTAATGGCCCACTCTGCAAATTGCCAGCTTCTTCAAGTAATACTTGCAACCCCAAGTCTATCTACATCCAATGAAACTGGTAAAATCATTTGCACGTTTGTCCTGGGAATTAACACAACAAAAACTGAATAAGTGTGATCCCTTATGAACTTGTTAGCTTTCTCAGATTCAGACGTGCTACTTCAACCAACAAAACAACTTGCAAAACGTATGTCACATGATGTGAGTCAGTTACTAGAGGTTTGATATGATGTGAGAATATGAAAAATCTCATCTGTTTTGATTGGATGTGTTTGCTTTGCTTAGGTGCACGCTTCTTACACTGAATGTGCAATTTGTATGGATGACAAGGGTGAGGCAACCTGCAAATGGAATGGTTGCCCGCATCAATTTCATGTTGATTGTATTGATACTTGGCGTAATGGTGAAGATCAAAAACATACAAAATGCCCAATTTGCCAACATGTAGATCCAGTACTGCATGAAAGATACAGGCAAAGACAAAGATCACTTCAACAAAGAATAGAATTTGAGAATAGATCTCGTAGCCGTAGTGAAAGAGGATCCAGTGTAAGCAATCTCCTCAAGTCCAATTTAGACCAAGAAAGACATTGAAAACTGAAGTATCTGGGATTGTTCAGTTAGGTACCCAATGTCCCTATTGCAAATCAAGTACCATGGAGCTACGTTCTACCACATATGGGCATCGGCTTCATTGTGCAAGATGTAATCGCATGAAACCCCGCTGAAAGTACGGGAGTTCCTCAACAAAGCTGAAATGAACTGTAAAACACTCATGATGCTAGACAAACAATTGGTGCAACTGGTCAAACAGATGTTGACAGCTTTCCTTTGAATTCTAGACTGTTGGATGATAATTTCAAGTTTTTTTACTGTATATCCTTCTCTAGCAATATGGCTTAGGTTTAATCTTTGTATCTGAAACTTTTCAAAGACTGAAAAATGGATAAAAAATCCATTCATGAGTTTTTATACCAGTTTTATCAAAATTTAGATAACCAAATCTTGATTCTTATTTTCCAACACCTATACACAAATATCAATAATCAAGGTATTAGTGAATAAGTGAAATATTATAGGAGTTCAAAATAGCTTTTCACCAGAAAGTTTTTATTGTCCCACCAGAAAGATTGTGCATGCTGTGGAGTTTAACATTTTAGTCAATTTTTAACACACCAGAATTGCTGCCATTGTGAATGTGTTGAAAATCACTAAATTCCACATCACCCAACCCAAGAACTGCATCACCACATCACTTGACACAACACTCAACTTCTCCAGCACTTTGCAGACCATGCCCAATCAGCTGCAACAAAACACTAACAATGATGACCGGTTCTGGGTTGTGGCAACAATGGAGAAAAGGGTTTTTACTAGTCTGTAAAGTTAAAGACTTAACTTTTATAGACTATTGGAGAGTATAAAGAGAAATGTAGACTTGTAATGAGATAATACACTACTTAAAAACCCCACTCACTAATCAATATATTTTAGTAAGGTTGGTGGGTTTGTATTGTAATGATTGTCTGGGGGATGAATCTCAGGGAAAGAGTCATCGGTCAAACTGCTACTGGCACCAGTGCAGCCCCCATATTGATACACTATTCCTTTGGGTAAAAGTGTCAAGATATTGAAAGCATGTTAAATGTACATGTGCTGAATATCTCTCTTATTTCATAAGATACACAAGATAGATAAGCAAGATACTAAAATACACAAGAGATATAGTATTATAGACAGGATAATGTTCTCTTGGATACACACAAGAGATAATCATAATTTTCAACTTGATTATGACTTTCATGAGAGAGGTAGATTAATAAAGAGGCATATCTTTATTAATTTAAAGAATACTTCTTAACTTAAATAATACATATAACAATATTTATCATCATGTGACCTAGAAGGGGTTACATTCTTTGTAAACACATGGACTAGTGTCTCAGTGTCTGACATATTGTAGCACAATTGTGCTAACGTCTAGCATAGTGCAGCGGAGTTCCACGGACCGCCACACATGTGGGCCGCAAAAAAGGCCCCACTACGCTGCACTGCAGCATGTTTTAGCAGTTTTTGATCCTTTTTTGCCGCTCAAAGTGCTGTAGCACAGCATAGCGTTACACGTAGGGGCACTAACAGCAAGCTAACACTACAGGTTTTGCATGCTGTTCCAAGGGCCGCTATGCTAACATTAGTGGGATGTTTAGCATAATCCTCAACAACATCAAACTGGCCCATACCAATGAGCTCCACCCTGGTAAACCCCATTTGGCTGACCTCAAACCCGGTAGGATCAGCATCTATCATCTCCTCCTTCATAAATCCACTATCCTTGACCTTAATGCCATCAGACATCTCAAACATCATCTCACTTGTGACCTCCGTCAACTGATCACCACCCTTGGTCTCTCCCCTTCCAAAGCTCACTATCAATCTGTACTCACCAATCAATCTCTCTCTCAACAAATCCTTGACGCTTCTCATTGAATCACTTCCATCTTACCCTCTCTATCTCTTCTTTCTCCTATATCTAACATTTCAAACAAACCCCTGCGTTCTCTTACCCTATTTTTGTATTTCCTTCTTGTCAAATATTTAGAAGTTAACTCAAAATCATAAGTAGAGTCTGCACAGCCTTCCTCAATGATAAGGAATGAGACATTTGAATAAAAGAAAAAAGTATGCATAAATCAAACCTAATGTATGTACATATGGTTGATCAAGCTCTTTGGAGCACACATTCAACTACCACTATCTGTACAAATGGTCAAGGGGCCTCTCCTCCTCTACCTCCCAGCTAACAACACAAGTCCCTCCGTGCGGGAGGTGGAGAGCGCTCCATGTGGGGTCCCCCGGACCCTCCGTTCAAGGGGATTAGTTAAGCTAGACCTCCCAGCTCCCTCCAACTGCTCTTCACAATCACTTTCCATTCCAGGGCTGGAAGAAAGCCTGAAAAACATCAGTCATAAGGGCAGCAGGTACTACAAAACCTTCCCACCTACAACAAATGTGCCCACAATATATATCAACATCTATGCATCATGAGTACATACATACGATCTATGAGGTCTGACTAGTCAGTACCAGCAAAAAAAAGAAATAACATGATCTTTTCTCTTGACATCATCCTCTGTTTGTCTACTCATCACTGTCACACCATAAACCATATAAAAAATAAGAAAAGGAAGGTCAGTTGAACTAAAAGAAAAAATTCTATGTATGCAGGACTATAATATACAGGTTTTCTTGAAAAAATAGAGGAAACAATTGATGTTCATTAGAAGATGAAAAAAGAGAGCCTATTTTCTTGTGTTTTAATAATTTGAGTATGATACTTGTTAGAATCAAGGTTTAGAGGCTTTAGGAGGACTGATGGTTTTTTTGGATTATTAAACAATAAAATGGTAAATCAGTATTAATGAAGACAGAAATCCAGTTTCAAAGAATCCAAATCTCTTTTGAATTAATTGTATGAGAATAATGAGAGAGAACAAGCTTACGGTCTAGTACTTGGAGAAGGGCTATCATTAACATTTGGAAGTGGTGGGGTGTACCCAGCTTTGACAGGTTTAGGCCTACAAACGCACAGAAGTTAAAAAGACGCCACCACTTTCCGTAAAAACGATGTGTATTATTTACGGACCTAGTCGTATCAACTGCTTCGATTGGCAAAGTGAATCTCTCTTCATCGCAGCCATACGCCTTCGGAGTCAGCTTAATCACCGTATGTCTATTGATTAAACCCTGATAGTCAATATGACATTTCTTCGAAATAAAGGAATCATGATCGATGGGTGAAGTGTTTTCAAGTAATTGGAATACTCAACAAGGGAATCTTGAGATATGGTAACTGTGATCATCACATCACGGAAAGGAAAAGATCAATTAAATGAATCTAATCACACGGTGTCACGAAAACATCAGCTAAAGATGCGGACGTAATAACTTACTTCATCTTGACTAAAGTTGTGACTACATATATTTGTTTGTCGCACGCAGAATTAGTACAACTGAGCGGTTTCTCTTTGGACGGAGGAACTTACAAGTAAGCATAGAGACACCTCAAAACGGCCTGACAAAAATAAGAAAAAAATCGTCAAACCAACGTTAAAAGCTCTTATAAAAAAAGAGATGATACAAAGAAGAGAGAGATAAGATACCTGATGGCAAACAATCAAGATGTTCTCTTGTCTTTCAAGCTCCATAATCACCGGTTCTAATCTAACCACTACATCTCGATAACTCTCTCCACCTCGGTAACGATAATTAAATTTATCATCATCTCGTTCCGCATAATCTTCCGGATAATGTTCCTATACATGATCATGAAACAGGTAGAGAAAAGAAAATCTTAACATCTGCTATTGAACTGTGTATAGCAGGTTTGTGATTTCATTAGTCAAGCAAGTGAAAGTCCATAAACGCAACTTCTATTTCTTCATACGTCATTCCATCACACACTCCTGCATCCAACTCATCTAAACTCTTCCAAGTAAGTTTAGGATACGGTAAATCGCGTGCGGTTTGAATTGTCCTTTTCAGAGTTGAAGTCCAAACCTATTTCAAAATTGATCAGACACACATGATAAAAAAACCCCCAAAGCTGTATGTAGATTCGATTGTGAAAAAAATTCTTACAGTCAACGGCGTACCACCAATCGCATCCGCGATCAACTTAGGCAATGCTTTTGCATACTCCATGCCTCGTTCCGATAATTGAGAATCACCTCCAATTTTACCCTCTACATTGTATTGAGATTCGCCATGCTACAGCATCATTACACATGCAGATAAAAAAAACGGACTGATGAGCTCGGCGGGACCATGATTATATTAGAAGAAAAAGCTTACGCGAGTAAAGAAAATTGATCTGGGGGAGATGTCTATTAGGACGTGGAATGATCGTGTAGCCAGGGTGAAAAGTCCATGGTTAATATGATATTAAAAGTGGGAGAGAGAACAAGAAATGAGTCATGTTAATTCGGCAGCGAGTTCCAAAAGAAAAAAAACTGACGCAAGTTCATCAAATAAAATGCGACCCTAGAGGCTAAATAACTGCAAAAGACAAAAAAAATGGACAGGCCAAATAGACAATCAGTTTTGATCTGACAGAGGAGAGAAAGGTATGAAAATTGCAATGGACGAAACTTGTCAATCCGATTAACAGTGACCTCATAGCCGACGTTAACGACCTTACAGAAGCTCAATTCAGGCTCGTCGACGGTCTCATAATTAGCTTCATAATGAGCAATCCGTTTGAGGAAGTCAGCCTTTGCGTTCTCTTTAGGTTGACCATCATAATCTGGATCTCCTGAGGCTACTTTGACGTCGACATTCGCTTCGATGACCGCTGGATCGGTGCAGATCGATTCTAAGAAGATCAAACTGATACCTTTCTCCTTCTTGACCCTTTCTACTATTGCATTTCTTCTCGCTTTGGTCGTGTTGGTTGCATCTGTAGATCCCCAATCAGTTTTGTCAATCGTCTCTTGGGTTGATTCATCTTTTCGAGAAAGACTTACCATGTATCCCTACATTTCCACCAGCCTTCAACCAAGCTATCAAGCTTTCTAAGCAATCAGCAGCTAATTGTTCTCGAGTTTGTCTTGCGGATGCATTATTGGGATCTATTGATTTCAAACACCGAAAGATTTGGAACATGTCAATCATAAAATCCACTAAATTCACATACAGAGAGATGTAACCCACCGAAAAAATTGGCAGATTGATCTTCTTTCAGGCCTAATTCTTGTGCCATTTTCTTAAACTTTTCTCTTCTGTGTTGGCCTACGTTGAAAACCCTGACACTAAACTCTAACCACTGTGATACAACAAAAGGAGAAGAGATTATTATTGGTAACGAAAGAGTATGATTTATATCTTCCTGACTGACTTTCAAATATCTCTGTAGTTTGTTACTCAAGTAAGATTTTCCGCGAGCCGGTAGACCAACCTGCGTAGAGATTTTGTTAGGAGACTGGTATATATAGGATATATAACTGGGAAGAGAGAAAGAGAGAGCTTACCATTGCGACTACGATCTTAGCCTCACTGTAATCAGGTTTTTGGACCTGAGAACCTGTGCTCCCTTTACCTTCGAGACCATGGTAGGAGAAGGAAGGATGCCTGGAAGATTTCTTCTTGTTTGAGCTGAATGCGTTGGAATTATTCGGATTAGTGATTGCCGCATTGGCGGTGATATTCGATCCGGGGTGAGCCGATGTTTGATAAGGGTTGAGAGCTGCCGGTGGGACTGTTGCAGTTGCTCGATCTGTACGCAGCCTCACTGAAGGTGGAATGCAAGGAAGAAGTTCTTGAGAGTGAGGATTGATTAGCTCGAGGGGATGAGTGAGCCGAAGATTTTGAGTGATGAGGGAAGATGACGGGAGATTTCTTGTTTGAGGTTGAGGTTGATCGATGGACTCTTTGATGAGTATGGGAGGATGATGAGTTGGTTGAGGTTCTGTTGAGACCCTTTGGTGTTGGATCTCTCTGCTGTTGCGTTAGTCGATGTGGTGAGGGTGATTGGATTCTTGTTGGTGATTGGGATTGTCTTGCTTTGAGTGGTGGTGAAGCTAAGAAGCTAGTAGTATTAGTAGTATTAGTCGTCGATTGTTGTTGTTCTTGCTCCTGAGTCTGACTGTTTGCCATCTTTCCTTCCTCCCAACAGATTGGTTATGTTGTGGAGCGCCTTGTACTTTATAGCTATATATAGCCTTCTCAGTTCAGAAATACAGTTTCCCCTTGGGGGAATTTTCCATTCTCAATATACTCGCATAGTCTCGCTATAACAACTCCGACCCCCGGAGCCTTATTAATAAACCACACCCTCCTATAATCTATCTATCCACAGCTACACACACACATCCCAACCCTTGGTCTCCCATTCATAGCCGTACAAATACGAAGGTCATTCCCATATATATCCAAGTATATTAAATCCAGTACTTTGTACCAAAAAAATTCAAAGGTTTCCCCTAAACCCAATCCACATAGAAAAGAAAAATGTCTCCCTCCACTTTTGCTGATCCACACAGAAAAGAAAAATGTCTCCCTCCACCTTTGCTGAAACTCAAAAAACCGCAAAACCACATCCCAGCCCCCCAACACCAGCAATGCTGATGCACTTGGGCTCAGTGTCCAGCTCATGTCAAAGCATGAGTCAAAAACACTGGACATGAAGGCCCCCCGCTTGCACGGAATCATGCAAGCCAGTGGGGGGCCAGCTCGTTAATGACCAAACTGCACAACTGTGACAGCGGGACACAGGAGGGGCTTGACCATGGAAAGTCAAGGTACACATCCTTGACATCCCCAATGCTCAATTAATAGCTCTATTTATAGAAGCAGCCTGTAGGTGTATCAATCACCCCTCAGGCATTGAATTTGACATGCCACAGCTTTCCGATTGCCTCCACCCTACCACACGCTCATCAGTTCGTAAGCCTCAACACACCAAACCCTTGTCAACAGTCACCACAACTCAGGTCACCACCAAGCAGCCTCGCCATCACACAAGCCAACCCAAACCAAACTAGGTACGACTACTGCACACTGAATACCCTGCCAACCGTCTATTAATCCAAGCAACCCACATACTAACCGGCAATTCCACTCTTTTAACATACTATACAGTTAACCGCCCAGCC